CTTCCTCACCGTTTACATCTAAGCAATCTTCCAATGTGATAACTTCCTCACCGTTTACATCTAAGCAATCTTCCAATGTGATAACTTTGTTACCAGATCATAGTTACAGTGGATCTTTTCAATCAATAAAAGGTAAATATTAATGAAAATAATACTATTTCTAATATTGGGTTTATATAATCTTAATATGTGTATTATTTGTAATATATTTATAATAAATTATATATTTTCAGAGAACACATTATCATTAGATTTGGAAGACCAAGAGAGCAACATAACAATTACAGATTGTGAAATCCCAAATAGACCTGCTAGTACACTTTCTAGCTGCAGTTATACTAGCAGTGTGCAATCTTTAGAACCAAATACAAGTTTTAATCCTACACAGTTGAAATATTCATCTGTATTTAAGTCTACCAAAAAAGTAATGCCAGAAATGGATGAATTTGCAAAACGTAAGAAGATGAAAGACAATAAACTTGATCACGAGTTGGAGAAAGCAAGTAAGGAAATATCTATGGCAGTGAAAGCAGTATCATCTCAATTAGATCAAAAATTGGAGAAAGATGGTTACATGTCCGCCTTAGAAGAAGGATTAAAATACGTTCCTTTGAAACATAGAACACAATGTATCATAGATCTTCTTCAAATTATTCAAAAGTACGAGGAGAGGCAATAATTAGTTTTTACACACACACATACACACATACACACAAAGTATCTTTTTAATATCTTAAACTCAATTTTACATACAGAAATATTCTAAATTTCGTGTGCTATTGAATGCTATTTTAAATAGTTTATATTTTTCTAATAATATGTGAGAGATTGTATACAATTTAAAAATATATTCAGTTTTGTTTCTAGTATGTTTTAAGTTCAAAATGTGTGTGTGTGTGTATGTGTGAAATAGTACAAAACTGTACTTTCTCTAACGTTAGTCATTTAAATAATTATATGTTTATACATTTTCAAAATATATGTCCAGTTTCATTTATAATATTTTATTTTAAGTTTAAAATGAATTAGAGGGAGAAAGAGAGAGTACAAAAATGCTACTTTCTATAACATGTTAATTACTTAAATAATTTTATGTTCTTACAATTTCAAAGTAATTCAGTTTTGTTTATAGCATATTTTAAGATTGAAATAATACAAAACTGCAACTTTCTATAACATGTTAGTTTTCAATAATTTTATGTTTCTAACAGTATTGTTATTTATAAAATTTTTTAATGCATATTGTGAGATATTGGAAAAGCAGGCTGTAATTATAAGTCTTGTATATTTTGATATTTTTATAATTTTATTATAAATAAACAATATTTTCAAAAATCAAAGACAACACATTTTCATTATTTTTGTAAAACATTTGTATTTAATAATGTCGACATAAAGGAAAAAGTTTTATTAAAAATTCATAATATACGTTGCCACTGCCATGGAATACTCCCTTCTGCTGAAACAAAATATTGAGCAAGAATGTCTCGTTGTCTCATAGCAGCAGCTGTACCGATATTGGCACCAACTCGTCCTAAAGGATTAATAAAACCATTTTCTCTAATTTCATTTCGCCAATTCCCTGATATTATTTCGCCATCTACTCCTTTATCTATCATTTCATCATGTAAATAATTATTATCGTTTAAGTTGGTGCTTATAATATAGTTATGCAAACAAGTTATAGCTTGCAAAATTTTTTCTACAGTACTTAATTTCTGAGCTATAGGTTTTTGTAATATTCGCCATCGTGCTACAAGAATGCCGAAAGCATTCTCGACAATTCGGCGTGCTCTCGACAATCGATAATTAAATATTTTTTGTTCATTATTTTGTAAATTTCTTTTTGCGTATGGACGCATTAAATATGTTTTCAGTGGGAAGCCTTCGTCACCAACAAGAGAAAATGGCAACGGATAATTCGTATTAGGCACAGGATAAGCTGCTGGCACAGATAGAGTATTACTTTCAAATGCTTGTTTTATTGTTGTATTTGACCAGATTCCAGCATCATTCAGTGAACCTATAAATACATATTATACATATATATATCCTATAGCTGGTTATTCTTTAAAATAAATTTTATTTGTAATACTCATATAGTTTAATTTTACCATAATTTCCAATATCGACCCAAATAAAGCGATAACAAGCATCTACGATAGCCATTAATACGAGGCTAAAATATCCCTTATAATTGTGGAAAGCACTACCCGAATTTGGTGGAGCTTGAATTCGGCAGTGTTTCCCATCAATTGCTCCAAGACAATTGGGAAAATTCCACTTATTATTGTACTCATTTGCGATTTTTAGCCACTCATGTGCTTCTTGTGGACATCGGAGGTATGTTGGTTGCAATACTTCCCATATACCATTACAAACTTCGGGAATAATGCTGTATACAGTTGATCTTCCTATTCGATAAAATAAAGAGGTAGTGGTCACGCTATCTCCATGAGCGAGAAAACTAAAAATAAATTTAAATTTGTTGTGTATGTGTAAAAATTCATAATTTTTAGAACAAATAAAGTGTAGGTAATCTATATTAATAATATTCGCAACAGAGAATAATTGTTAAACTAACCTTAATGTCACCGCAATACGTATCTCCGTTGGTAGAAGTTCTCTACAACTACGTTTTTTTAATTTTGGCTTTAATCTATTTAAATTGTCAAATTGTTCCACTGACATTCTTGTCAGTTTGAAAAATTCTTCGTGATTATTCATTTGGAAATATATAAATAATGTATGATGAGCACCAAAATTTTGTCTCATATTTCTAGTAATATGGGGTTTTACCCACCATCTTCTTATAATTCCTTTTTTACGTTTTCTTACACATAATCTCAGTCTTATAATTTGCATCCAAATAAGTAATAAATTTAAATAAATATTCAACGTTTCAATTTCCATGACGTCTGACTATTCCGACTTGCGACGCAATTGTAGACTAGCTAGTCGTATTCATACCCGACATACAACACGCGACAAGCGACTAACGACACCCGACTCCGTCATCCGACTTATTGTAGAACGGGTCTAACCAAAAATTGTGCGTTGACCTACGACTACGACTCACGTTTCACGACTCATTACGATCATCTTTGTGCTTAGGCCCTAACATAAGTGTATTATATTTGCGCGACGTCTTCTGCGCCTGACTCCTAGTGCCCTTGCTCTTTCCAATTCTTTGATTTAGGGAGGCTTGGTTGGTTTAATTTGTTATACGGACTTTTTAATTATTAATATTATAATATAACGAATTATTTTAATTACCTCTAAGTTAATGAATTGACTTTTCTTTTTATTGTAACTGAAAAATATGCTGTAATTATTTAAACCAAATAATTTAATTCATATCCACTACAGCTCAAAGTGTAATAATTTCTTTAGTAGAGATATTTTTTTTTTTTTTAAAAGGTTATATTTCATTAAATTTATTACATTTATTAAATGTTTCAACTTTATGTATTTCTTATTTTGTACGAATTAATAAAAACTAACATAGATATTTAAAAATGTCGTTTTATATGTTTTGTTCTATTTTATTTGAAAAAAAAATATATAATTAAATATACATAAATATATATAAAATATATTTTATTAAAGTTATTCATATACATATGTAATACATTCTTATAGAAAACTTGTACATACAAAACTTATACTTGTATAAAAACTAATTAATTTCTCTTTTAAAAGTTATCGCTCGTAATTATTTCCATTAATCTATTTCTTTTTATATTTCCTTCCTCCTTTAATTCATCAGTAATAGCTAGTGGTTCCATTATGTGTAATGTGTCAGGTATAACAATAGGAATTTCAATGGTATCATTATTTAACAAACAAATGTTGTGTAATACACAACAACTAACTATATAATATGGAATTAAATCCGTTCGCGTCATAGGCCGGTATTCATAGTCAGATCTTATATTCAAGACCGTCTTAAGTACAGTCTTAAGAAGTCACGAACCAATCAGAGGGCTGCATTAGCGTCTTAAGACATTACTTAAGACGGTCTTGAAATAAGAACCGACTATGAATACCGGCCATAGACAACTTATCCAATAAATAACACCATCTTCCTTTTAATAATGCAATTGCCCTTTCTACAGTTACTCGAGCTGATGACAAGTAGTGATTAAATTCTCTTTGTTTTCTGGTTAAATGACCATTGTCATTGAAAACCATGATATTTTTTTGTATACTATATGCCGCATCACCTAACAAATGGCTGTCTTCAGGGAAATATTCCGGAGTACAATATTGTTGCACACCAGAATAAAGAAACACTCGCATGTCATGTACACATCCTGGCATTCCAACAAATACATGTATGAAAGATAAATTATCTTTACATACGACCTAAAAAGGAAATATATCAGAGTTACTTTAAAACAATTCGCTGTTTTTCTTCATTCATTTAACATACAATTTGTAATATTTACTATTCCTTTAATTAAGATAATAATTAAAAATATTCTTATTCTTTACTTGTAACTGTATAGAGAGAATCTGCCTTTCCTGTTGACGTAACTATTAGCGTCTTTCTTTGACCGGGCAATGTTTATATGTGTCCCATCAACAATTCCCAAAACTTTAGGAAATCTGTATAATCTTTGAATATTTGTCCATGTTGTTTCAGCTTCGGCATGAGTAGGCCATCTGATAAAATAATTTCGAATGCTGTATATTACACGAAGTACTCTCTTGACACTAAACCATGCAGTTGATCTTGCAACACCAAATCTTTCGCTTATAGAGCGATAAGAGTCTGGTGTTGCCAAAACGTAAATGGCTATTAATAACTGTTTTTCTACACTAATTTGTTCTCTTTAAATGAAGGATTTTCCAATTTTGATCCAATCAAATACAATAAGAACTAGAAAGTATTACGCTCCATCCTGTAATAAATAATATTGCGTTATCATAAATGTTTTATATTAATTAACGATGTAATTATAATGAAGTGTTATAACTAACCTGAAATGTAATTTAAATTCAATATTTGTATATCTTGCAACAACATGTTCAAGATAATTATTTATTTTTGGTACTACTCTCCTTTCATTGTTGCTGTTATTGAATAAAATATTTTGTAATTCTTCATCATTGTTATCGCTGTCACTAGAAGAGGAACTAGAAGAGGATTCAAATATAATATTTTCGAGTAAGATATATTCTTCCATAATAACAATGCTGATTGCTATGCAAGATATCCTAGACTGCACTAACTTTTTTGTCCTTTTATTTTTGTTTAACAGCAATGATACATAAAGTCTGTAAATATATTTATATATTATATTTAAAAAGCAATTTATAAATTTGTAAAAAATAATTTAAAATTAAAAAAAATTTTTTTCAGATTTTTTACATATGTGTATCGCAAATACATATTATAATAGAAAAGATGTCATCAAAACTCTCTTTTACTATTATCCAGAATATGCATACAAAAAAAGAAGTTAGAATTGAATAGTTGTATTCTATTGTTTTAATTATGATTACAATTAAATATCATCATCTCTACCAGTTATACATAAAGTTGATGTTGAACGTGTTAGGGCCTAAGCACAAAGATGATCATAATGAGTCGTGAAACGTGAGTCGTAGTCGTAGGTCAACGCACAATTTTTGGTTAATCTATAATTACGACTTACGTTTCACGACTCAGTTACAGTCATCTTTGTGCTTAGGCTCTTATAATTATGAGAACATTTAATGACTACTTACGTAAATCCTGTAATACTTCAAATAGCTTTCTTTTCTTTTATACTCACCATTACTTCGATCTCTCGGCAGTCCCATGGGCAGTCCCAGCGGGAGAAACCATCGACATCTAGAATGGACCGCTG